AGAAAGACAAAGGGGAAGAAAGTTATTCAAACAAATAATATTAGAAAATTTCCCAAAGCTGAAGAAGGATATAAATATCCAGGTACCGGAAGAGCAAAAGCCACCAATCAGATTCAACTCAAATAAGAACACTCCAAGACATATTTTAATCAAACTCACAAAGGTGAACGACAAAGAGACGATCCTGAAAACATTGAGAGAAAGAAGCAAATAACATATTAGAGAGATCCAAGACACCTGGCAGTAGACTTCTCCGCAGAAGCTGAAGGGAAAAAATACTGTACCCATACTTTGTAACCAAAGTTATCTTTCAAAGATAGAGAGATAAAAGACTTTCCCTACAATTAAAGCTGAGGGAATATTGCTACCAGATCTGTGTCCTACAAGAGATGCTTAAAGGAGGTCTTTAAACCAAAAGAAAAGGACACTAACGTGTTTGTTATACTAATATTGTAATTGTGGTATGTAAGTCATTTACATCTTTTGTAAGAAGACTAAAAGACAAAACTATTAGAGATGACAATAACTACAACAGTTAAGAGATAGGTAATATAAAAAAATGTAAACTGTGACATCAAAAATTCAAAATGTTGGGGAAGAATGGAGTTAATGTGTACAGAGGTTTTAAAAATTTGTTTCCGTTTCATTTTTTGTGACTAAAGTTAAGTTGGTATCAGTTTTAGACACTTGTTGTAACTATAGGATGTTTTTTGTGAGCCTCATGGTAACCACAAAGCAAAAATCTATACTAGATATCATAAAAATAAAAAGCAAGGAATTACAACATGCTACCAGAGAAAATCACTTAACCACAAAGGAAGACAGTAAGAAAGGAAGAGAGGAATTACACAGCAAGTGTAAGAAAAATGGCAGTCCTAAGTCCTTCCCTATCAATAATAACATTGAATGTAAATGAACCAAGTGCTCCAATTAAAAGACATAGAGCGGCTGAATGTAATAAAACACTAGTTCCCACTCTATGCTGCCTACAAGAAGGTCACATCACCTATAAAGACACACATAGACTGAAAGTGAAAGTGAAGACATGGATAAAGATATTCCATGCAAATGGAAACCAAAAAAGAGGAGTAGGTATGCTTAGGAATAAACTCTAGTATTTGATAGTATGAGGAAGTTATAGTTAACAATAATTTATTGTGTATATTTCAAAAGAGCTAGAAGAGAAGAATTACAGTAATCACAACATAAAGAAAAGATAAATATTTGAGGTGACAGATATCCCAATTACCCAGATTTGATCATTACATACTATCTACATGTATCAAAACATGTACAACTATATCAATAAAAAAGCAAGAAATTATATATAACATGTAGATAAAAATTTAAAGACAAAACTACAATAAATATTATTTGTGAATATATATGTGTAGTAAAAGGATACAACATAGTGAGTAAGGATGCACCATTGTTTCCTACCAGAGGTTACCAATAATGGTCAAAAGGAATGAGACTAGAGAGTTAAGAAGGTGTTAATTGCATATATAACACTGTAAGTTCAGGGGGGAAAAAGACCTGTGCTAAATATAGCAAAATGGAAAGCCTATTAAATGTCAGAGGTGGGTAAGACATGCATTTTTGTTAGTATATTCAATTTACATTACTAGAATTTTGAATTATTACACAATTTTTAAAAAGCCATCCTCTCCCAAATTAAAAGGATCATGAGAAAAGGATGGCATTTTATCATGGAAGTGACTGAAGTCTGAACTATGCATTCTAAGATAAACAGGACAGAGAGTGAAGGCAGCAGGCATCTAATGGACCAGGACAAAGTAAAAAGGTCAATGGATTCTAGGACTGAATAAGGAAAATAATAAAGGGGCAGAGTAAACTTAGAAATAAAAAATTATGGGCTGGGCGTGGTGGCTCACGCCTGTAATCATAGCACTTTGGGAGGCCGAGGCGGGCAGATTGCTCAAGGTTAGGAGTTCGAAACTAGCCTGAGCAAGAGTGAGACCCCGTCTCTACTATAAATAGAAAGAAATTAATTGGCCAACTAATATATATAGAAAAAATTAGCCAGGCATGGTGGCGCATGCCTGTAGTCCCAGCTACTCGGGAGGCTGAGCAGGAGGATCGCTTGAGCCCAGGAGTTTGAGGTTGCTGTGAGCTAGGCTGATGTCTCGGCACTCACTCTAGCCTGGGCAACACACTGAGACTCTGTCTCAAAAAAATATATATTAAAAACAAATTATGGATAATCAAGATTAAGCATTTTCTTAAAAGGTTAATACAATTGACAAATAGTTGGGAGCATTATTTGAAAATTTACAAAAACAAATAGAATTTAGAATAATCAATAAATACAAAAACTATTTTGAAGTCATTAGGGATATATACAAACTATAGAAGTAGACTATTACAGCTTTATTTTCCTTTCCTACAAAATCTATCTTAAAGGCTTGAAATTTCAATTCTCACTTGTTAGTAGATGCTAGTACCTCCAAACAGATAAGGTGGATATTTATGCAGGTGACAGAAAGAATGAGATTATGGAGCAGTGAGGATACTTAGAAGAAATTTGTTAGATACAAATGAAGGCTGGCACATCTACAATCTTACCTTACCCTCTTGCCTAATCTGGAGACTTGCAGAGAAATTTATACTTCTCACAACTCTGTTCCGCATTCCAAAATCACTGAAACATCCTTGTTATTTGTAAAATATTCGTTTTGGTATATGGGGACTTCAAAGTTAAATATTTTCTCTTTGCCCCATACAATTTAATATTAAAGGAGTATATGCTGATATTTATTCATTGGTAACTGTATTCAAAATGGCAACCACACCCATCTGTTTAGATTCTCCTGCAGGCAGAAAAGGCCCAGGGAACCTTATTTCCATCTCTATCCTTAGATTTAAAGGAAAATTATGATCAATGCCACTTACAGATTCTTTGTAGACATACTTTCCATAAAAATTTGGAACTGTAAATAAAATTGAACTAACTCAATAAAAAGCTGAGAATTCAAAAAAGAAAAAAAATCCATACACTTACCAAAGAACTGTAAAATCAAAAGCACCTACTTCCGTTGGATTTACAGGATAACTTTCTCCAACCTTTAAATATATCCAGAGTTCCCACCAACACAGTGAATTAGCACTGTCTGCTGTTTCCTTCCACCAAAATCAGTCCTAAAGGACCTATATACAAAAACATATATAGACAGAAAGGCAGCAGAGGTCAGGGATGAAGATTCAGACTTCCTGGGTTCAAATCCTAGTTCTGCCATTTATTAGCTGTGTGGTTTGGGGTATTTACCTGACCTCTCTCTACTCAAGCAAATAGTTGTCCAAAAAACCTACCTCACAGGGTTTTTTTTGTGAGAAGTAAATTAGGTAATATCTGTAAAGCATTTAAAATGCTACATGACACAAAATAAACCTGTTGTACTAGAGTTTGCTAGATAGCCATGGAAAGAAATGCCCCAGAATCCAGGGACCCTGGTCTGAGCGGTTGGGGAGTGGAGAGGTGCCTGAGAGGAGCCCCTGTGGGCAATGGATGCTAGTTGGTTAAGCGGCCGGCACAAAGGCATGAGGATGATTAGAGGAAGGTGACCTTCTTGCCTCTCACTTCTCTGTGGAAATTGATGGAAACAGCCAGGCCTCCGCGCAGGCGCGTTGCAGGTAGAAACAGGTGTACTGTAGGTAAAGTCAGCACAGCACAAACTCCCCCTCCCAACCCTGGGATAAAGGTTTGAGGGAAACAGGTGGGGACAGAGAGCCTCAGGCATAAACAAACAGGAAGGGAAACGGGCTGTGACAGAAGTGACCTCTTGGGAAACTAAAATCACAGAGCTCTTTGCCTCTCCAATACCACCCTTGCATTTCACAGACCTTGTGCAAGGAAGACTTTTTTTTTTTTTTCCATTTCTTCCTTCTCTAAATTATAAACTTCCCCACAGGGTAATGGCAATTTTAATTCTGGTTTTCAGCTTCTAGATTAAGGACAATAATTTACAGTGACTGATCAGTCACACAATCACCTGCCGCGCTTGTTTTTCAACCAGCAGTTCCCAAAACTCTGGGATCTGTCCAAAGGGGACCCGGCCCTGGTGGCGTCCCAGGCCGGGCGTCCCGTTCCGCCCTTCCACTCGCCCCGCGCCCGCCGCCCAGCCCTCCACAGCCCGCCTTTCAGGGAATTTGCAAACTAGCTGAGCAAAGACAGAAACGCACAGATGTGGCCCCGCGTCGCCACGGCTCTCCTCTGGTGCCACCGCCCGGGTCTCCGCCCTGTGGGGGTTCGGGCCAGTGTAGACCCCTGAGGCTGGGGAGAAGCGGGGAACGCTGCGGACTCGGAGAAAGGAGCTGGGACCCCTCTCTTACCTTTCGGCTGCAGCGCGTCCGAGGTCCCCGTCGGGTTTCCCTGGAGTCGCCGGCGTCCGGTCCTTATATACCCGCGGTTGGCGCCCACGCGGGTGGACTGACCAATCGGAGTGTCTAAAAAAAGCCCGGGAAACTTTGCCGCCTTTTGAAAGGAAGCGCCAACTTGGTGACTGCCTTCGCGAGCAGGGGAGGTTCCCGCCTCCTGCCTCCTTCCCGCCTTCCCGGGCTCCTCGCTCCTCCCAGCCGTCTGTCTGTGGAAATTACTGGAAAAGCAGCAATGAAGATCGTTCGGAAGCTGACAAGAGCTTCCTCAGGCGCGCGCAGCCGTCCTGCTCCTGCGCTCGCGGCGCGGCGGCCCGGCCCTTCCTCGCGTCCCTCCTCCGCGGCGCCTGCTGTCCCACCTGCCCGCGACCCTGCGGAGGGTCCGGCCGGGCTCCCACCTGAGCGTTCGCCTTCTAGCCCGCTCCAGTCGCCCCGGACCCCTCGCTGGGGTTCTGTCCTCACCGCCCCAGAAAGTGGGTCCTGGAGACCCAGGCAAGAGTCCGAGCCTCCGCGTTCGTCCCGGATCCCCCGCCAAAGTGCTGCAGGTGCGCGGGGCCGCCCGCGGTCGGTTTGAGGCCGGCTCACCCGGGCCGGCTCACCCTGGCCGAGGCGGGGCTGCTCTGCGCCCGCTGGAGACCTGGCGCTGTGCTCCGGTCAACCCTGGTCGCCGTCAGCCTGCTTGTGTGCCGCGAAAGCCAGCCTGCTTTCGGATCGTCTGCCCTGTCACAGACTTTCCGCGCAATGCCAAGTTTTGTGTGAATATTTGGATTTGGTAACTCACTATGCTTGGCCCAGCAGCGTCGCTCCCGGAAGGCCCAGCTTCTGCTGGCGACGAGTAGCCCAAGGGCAGGAGCAGCGATTAATGAGGTTAATTCTGGGTCGACAGCCAAACTCCAGTGTAAGCGAAAGTGAGAAAATAAAATGCCTAACAGTCCTTCCCCTCAGAGGTTACTGCTGACCACTGTTAACGCCTTATTGTATATAACTTTCCAGATCATAGGTATGTGTCTACATATATAATCTATATATGTATATGATCTATATAAGTACACACATACATACACATTACACATATGTATAAGTAACATATTTTTATTAAAATGAGAGCATAATGTACATACTATTTCATAACCTGCTGTTTTTCAATGACCTCCCTCTTTCCATTTCAGTAAATCTTCATGTCATCATATTTAAGGTTCTCCACTTTCCTCTAAAATGTTGTTTATAGATTCTTTGTACAAACCTGTATCTAGTGGAGAACCATGTACAAAGCGCCGAAGGAAAACACTGTCAGTCTAGAATTCTGTAACCATGGAGAAAAAAAAAAGTCCTTGCAAATGGAGACAAAATAATGACCTTTTCAGACAAAAAAAAAAAAATCTTAGGGAATTTGTCACCAGCAGGTCTGTCGTACCAAAAACGTTCATGGAAGTTTTCTTTAGGTTGAAGGAAAAGGATCCAGAATGGAACTCAGACCTACACAAAAGAGCAAGGAGCACCAAAGATAGTAACTACGCAGATAAATACAAAAGATGCTCTTTCTCACTGTTAAAAATTATTTTTAAAATGATGGTTTAGGGCAAATATGGTGGCTCACGGCTATAATCCCAGCACTTGGGGAGGCCAAGGCAGGAGCATCACCCAACACCAGGAGTTGGAGACCAGGCTGAGCAACATAGTGAGACCCCATCTCAACAAAAAGCTAAAAAATTCATAGGACATGGTGGTGCACATCCGTAGTCCTAAAGACTTGAGAGGGTAACGAAGGAGAATCCCCTGAGCCCAAGAGTCAGAGGCTGCAGTGAGCTATGAATGATCATGCCACTGCACTCTAGCCTGGGCAACAGAGCAAGACCCCATCTCAAACAAACAAACATACAAAAAGATAGTTTAAAGAAAAACTATGTATTCTGGTGCTTATAATGTAGAAATAAAAATTGTGATAATGACAGTACAAAGGATGGAAGGGAAAAATAAGCACATATTGCTTTAAAATTCTTTCATTATGTATGAAGTCATATAATATCATTTAACTGTGATAAGTTGAAGAGGCATATTTTAACCCCTAAAGCTACCAGTAAAAAAACTGGAACAAAAATATATAGATAACAAGCCAATAAAGGAGTTTTTCTTGTGCCTCTTATTTTCTTTCTGTTTTTACAAAAATTTTAAGTTTTACTTGTTTTTGCTTTATAAACATACAAATTGTATAAACATACAACAACTTTACTAAGCTTTTTAAGTTAACTTTCATGATTGATCTCTATATTCTTTTAGGTGCTCTAAGAATATAATGATATCAAATGTGCCTAATGACAGTTGTATTTCTTCTTTTCTAATCTACATACTTTTTTCTTATTCCCTTTCTTGCATGATTGCATTGGCCAGGACTTCCAGTACAATGTTAAATGAAAGGCTGATACCCAAAGACACAACCAAACAATACTAAAATCCCATGCTTGGGGGTCCATCTTCTGGGATCACTCTAGAGAATAATTTCTGTACTAGTCAAGGTCCTGTCAGAAGACCAGTTATTTTGAAGAGAGAGACTTTAAAATAGAGAACTATTTTTGTTCTCTTTGCCATAAGGACATTTGTGGGACAATTGATAAAATTCAAGTACAGTCTATAGATTGGATAATATTATTGTATCAGTGTTACATACTTTTAAATTAGATAATGGAAAAGGCAGAGAGGTAACACCAAGGTTTTATGGAGGTAACTACAGCCAGGAGCCGCTACCCCTAGGGCTGGAGGAACAAATGGAAGGGTCTTTGAAGGAACATATGGCAGCTGCTATGAGTGTTGAGAGGAAAATAATTAAGAAAAGATCTGAAAGCTGTTTATGGGAAAGTTTATAAAACTTTATTGAAAGAAGATAAATAAATACATTAAGTCATATATCACGTCTGTGCATTGGAAGACTCAATATATGAAAGACATCAATTCTCTCCAAATTGATTAGTAGATCTATTGAGTTCCATTTTAAATTCCAACAGTATTTTCGTGGAACTTGACATAAGTTCCATGAAAGTTCTGATTATAAGTTTATATCTAAGAGCCAAGACACTTCTAAAACAGGGTGTGTACAGATACCAAATTTTACTATAAAGTAATAGTAATTAGACAAAAAGAGCAGGAATGGAATAACATATAGAGCCTATAATTGATTCACTTGCTTATGGATAATCTAGGACAGAGTTGGCATTGCAAATCAGTGGAGAGAGGAGAGATTCTTATAAATTGTGCTGAGAAATCTCATGTTCCCATAAAAATTAAAATTAATTTGCATCCCTCACTCCAAAATCAATTCTGGTAGAATAAAAACATAAATATAAATATGTCTTTGGATATCATGCACTGAGAAGGACATAATAGCCCATCCATGGTGCTCTTGCCAAAATGCATAACCTAAATCTTATCATGAGGAACATGAGATGACCCAAATTCAGAGATATTCTGCAAGATAATAGGTTTATCCTCTTCAACAGTGGCGAGCATATGAGACAAAGACAGAAATGGTTCCACATTAAATGAAATTTAAAAGAAATGAAAGTTAAATGCAATGTCTGATTCTAGATCAAACCTTAGACCAGAGGTTTGTTTTCTTTGCCATAAGGACATTTGTGGGACAATTGATAAAATTCAAGTACAGTCTATAGATTGGATAATATTATTGTATCAGTGTTAATTTCCTGATTTTTGATGATGATACTGTGAATTTTCTTATTTTTAGGAAACACCCACCACTGAAGTATTTAGAGGTAAGTTAGTATCATGTCTGCTACTTGCTTGCAAAGATGTCAGAAAAAGATGGAAGTAGAAGGAGGCACAGGTATCAAGAGAGATAAGGCCATCAGGATCATCTACGGTCAAACAACTCTGGACACATGACATCTAATACCTAATTTTAAATATTCACCTTTCATTATGCTCAAGACTTTACTACATTTTGCTAACAGTAGGGCCAGGTATTGGGTATAATTTGGGAAACACATGTTAACATCTTGCTTAAACTCCATGTCTGTTGTGGATCCAATCTGGCTCTACTCTTCATCGTTTTCATTCCAGGACCCAGCTGAATCTGGGTCATTGCCCATCTTATAATATATCGGAAGGAAAAGACAACATGGCAGAACCACTCAGTGACACTTAACAATTCTGCTCAGAAGTAGCACACATTATGTCTGCTTACATATCATGGGTCATATCAAGTCACATTGCCACGCCCGACACCAATGGGGCAGAGAAGATGATCTGCTTCTGGGAGGGGACGCCAAGCTTACTGAACCACATTACAATTTATCACACCAACCTCTGCTGCAAGAAGGCAGTACCAGATTCTGGCATCTTGTTCACATTTCAGCTAGCAGAAAAGAAAGAGAAGTCACACCTTTCTTTTTAAGGGCACAATGGGAAAATTGTATACATTAACTTCCAATTATATCCATTGGCCGTACCTTGGGAACAAGCTATATCTAACTGCTCAAGAGCATGGGAAATAGTTTGTGGGTTTGGGTTTGGGTGTTTTTCTTTTAATGCCTCTCCCCCCTCCAAAAAATCAGAAACATATAGTTTTTTTTTTTTATTTTTTTTTTATTTATTTATTTTTTTCTCCCCTTCAGGTATGTGAATGAAACATATAGTTTTTATCTGGGCATTCCTATCGTGTGTGTGTGTGTGTGTTTAATATAATCTAATAATCTTTGTCTCTTACTTGGAGAATTTAGTCTAAACACTGTTGAATAAGTAACACTAACCCATTCTAACCACCTGCTCTGTGCCACCCCAATGGCTGATATTGAAGATGACAGGGAGCCCTGTGTCCTGTCAATGCAATAAGGTAAGAACAGCCAAACAATCTTGAAGAACAATAACGCTCTAATATTATAGCAAAGTGACATGGCACAAGAATAAACCAACAGACTAATGGAACAGAAGAGAATCCAGAAACAGATAATTTATAGTTGCCTATTTAGGACCGGGGATGAAGCAAGCTGGAGAAGGGAGGACTTCTGGGAGGTGGGAGGAGGACTAACAAAGGGGAGAATAGCGGTGGAGGATTGTCCAAATGCAGGTCAGGTCTTGTCTTTATTTAACATTTTTATATTTTATTCGTCATGGATTGTTGTATTCGTTTTTGTTTTTTTTTTTTCTCTCACGCAGACGGCCGTTCTGCCTCTGCCTTCCGCCTGGTCTATCCCTCGAACTCCAACAGCGCCACTCCGCCTGCCTCGGCCCAGAGAGCTAGAATACAGGCGTCGAGCCCCCGCGCCGCCTCTGTAGTTCGTTTAATCTAAATTTGTTTATCTTCACTACAGGGAAGGTTTTTTTTGTTTTTTTTTTTTTTGGTTCCCACACTACTGAATTTTGCACTGGAGACTAGCACCTCACTCTCCTTACCCTCATGGGCCCTGATACATTCATCGTCTTTAACGTGGTGATGGTTTCAAGGGTTTACGTGTGTGTTAAAATGCATCATATTTTTGTGCATGTTAAACGTGTGCAGTTTAATGCATGAAGATCACAGCTCAATACAGCTGTTTTTAAAAAGTAAACCTATAAAGAAAACAGACCACAGGCTTCGTGGATCCGTCATGTCTCCTTGAAGGCAAGGTTTCTGTGCCTAGTTGGGTGCATCTGTCTGGAACCCAGAGGCCAAGGCAATTCCCCAACGCAAAGCCCCTGGCTTGGGACCTAAGACTCCTCCCACATGTTTCTTCTCTCTGGGTGCCTTCTTTAGCTCTGCCTGAGGTGGGATGGGGGGGTGTAGAAGCTGCAGCCCCCACACACCTCCCTACCACCTGTCCCAGGGCTGTGAGCGCAGCTGAGGCTGTGGGCATTTGTGCCCAACCACCCATATTCTAGGCAAACCAGGATTAGACCAGATCTTACCCCAGGGGACGCTGGCCTTCTCAATCACTAACCATTAGTCAGGCTTAGTACCCCCAGAACCTTCAGACCCCAGGTCTGAAGCTCCCAGCATTAGCCACAAAGGCTAGAGAAACCTCATTTGCAAAACAAACAAAAAGAAAACACAAAAAATAAAACAAAAAAACACTTAAAGAATCTACCCAGAGTTCTGGAGCACATTTAAATTTCCCCCTGCAAACCTCGGGAGTTCCTGATTTGCAGCCTGGTGCAGGACTCCTCAGAGTGAGGTCATCCCAGAGCCGCTGTCAAAGGGCATAGAGGAGCAACCCTGGTAACTAAGAATGCCCACAGTTACAGGGGAAATGTACGGGCAACACTGCGCCTCGCCTAGTTATCCCTGGGGGAATGAGGTTAAAAATAATTTCTTAAATTTTTATTATGGGCTAGGTGCGGTGGCTCATGCCTGTAATCACAGCACTTTCCAAGGCCCAAGTGGGAGGATCCCTTGAGTCCAGGAGTTGGAGACCAGTCTGGGCAACATAGTCAGACCCTGTCTCTACAAGAAATTTAAAAATTAGCAAGGGTATGGTAGTGCACATCTGTAGTCCCAGCTACTCCAGAGGCTGAGACAGGAGGGTCACTTGACCCAGGGGTTTGAGGTTGCTGTGAGCTATGATAACGACACTGCACTCCAGCCTGAGTGACAGAGCCAGACCTTCTCTCTAAAAACAATTTTTTTTATTATGAAATATTTCAGACGTACAAAAAACTATGCAACCACTCCTGTATCCACTACCCGCTTTAGAAAATGAAATACTACTGCAACTGAAGAGTCCTGTGTATTCCTCCCCGACTCACTTCCTCCCTCCCTGCCCTTTCCCTCTTCCCCCTACCCCTGCCCCGCCCCCTCCACCACCACCCACTTCCTTCCCTTCTCCCTGGAAGGTTCCAGGTGGAAGTTGGAGTCTCACTTCTGCCCCACACCCAGGCTGGGTTTTCAGTATGTGGTTGACATCTCGGTCTCTGCGGTAATAGTGTTCCCTGTCCTCGCCAGCACTCGAGCAGTTCAGTGTTTGTTTTTCCCTTTCCAGGGGCAGGAAGGCAAGGCTGACCTGGGGCCTTCTCTCTGCACCCTCCCCAGACCCCAGCTCCAGGGCGAATCTGTGAGACCCTGGGCAGGTGGCCACCCATTCAGCAATAAGTTATTGAGGGCTCAAAATGTTCTCAAAGAGTAATAGGATGGCTTAAAATTTTACCCTGATGGTACAAACAGAATAGTTCTGTAGAAGCACATAATTTGCTGGGGTTTTCTGAGGTTCTCAAAAACCAGCTGTACAGAAATGAACTTGTAATTTCCGTTATAACCCAACTTAGAGGAAGGGCACATATACATTCTCATACTGTCTTATTGAGTGCAGTAAATACTGTCCTCTGAACTGGTAGCAGAGTGTGGCTAATTTGGAAGTTCCAAAGCAATCCAGAAATCTTGAAAATGCCTTCTCTGCACCTGTATTTCATACTGTGGAAAATCAGAGAGAAGATAAAATGTCATTTTGTACACCTTGAATTGAATTCATGAAACAGTTTTAACAAAGTGGATTCCTCAGTTAGAAGCAATAAATTTGATTCCCTTGCATTTCTTGCCAAATAATATTAAAACCCACTAAATATTCATTAGAAGTCTTAGTGAAGAATGAATTCTTAAATTCTTTAGTTACTACTAATTTCTGCCCTAAAATTATAAATAATTATAATAATAAAATTATAAATAATTTTAAGGTCCTGCTTCTTTATCAGCAATGACGCCATAGTTGTGGAGTCAGATTATCCTATTTTTCAACTCGAATTTTGTATAAAAGAATTGGCTTATGCGAGAAAGATAGAATGTTTTAAAACTTTATTACATTTGTTTTTATGTTTATTTTGTTCTGACTAATATTTTACATTTAACTAAAAAATTTATATCTTTTTCTTTTCTTTTTTGAGACAGAGTCTCACTTTGTTGCCCAGGCTAGAGTGGTGCCATGGTGTCAGCCTACTCACAGCAACCTCAAACTCTGGGCTCAAGCAATCCTGCTGCCTCAGCCTCCCAAGTAGCTGGGACTACAACATGCGCCACCATGCCTGGCTAATTTTTTTATATATAATTAGTTGCGCAATTAATTTCTATGCAATTATAGAGAGGAATGGGGTCTGCGTCTTGCTCAGGCTGGTTGTTCGACACCCTGACCTGGAGCAATCCGCCCGGCCTCTGCCTCCCAGAGTTGTGTCTAGATGGTACAACGCTTACGCATGACCAGCGCTGGCCAAAAATTTTATTATCTTATTTGTATTTTTTCAATAAACCATGTAAGATTCAAGTTTTCCTGGAGGCAAGGTCTTTGATATGAATATTAGTAATTTTTTGTGTGGGTTTTCTCTCTTTGTCTGTCTTCTCTGTGTTGAGACAAAGTCTCACTTCTCTCGCCAGTGCGCCAGGTACGAGTGTTGCAGTGCTAGGGTATTAGGCTATCGTGGTATAGGCCTCCACCCGGACGTAACTCTGGGCCCTCAAACAATCTGGGGTCTCAATGTACTATATACCTTTTTCATGTCTCCTTATGCAACGCATGAGACGAGATAGTGGGATTGTCTAAAGACATTCTAGTAGGTCTTCGAAATTAAATTTCTTTCCGTTGTTTATTTTTTTTTTTTTTTTTGAGCAAAGATTTAGTCTGGTAATTGTCCTCTCGGTTCTATTAGAGTGTATTTATAGTAGAGGGGTGCCGGATACGGCATCCAGTCGTGACTTCACCACCAAACCTTCGCTACATCACCGTGGCTCAAAGATCAAGTGCCTTTCTGCGCTTCAAGCCTCGAACTCCTCGGAGTAGCTCTGAGAAACTATCAG